TGCTTTGGAAGTTATATTAAATCATTTTATAGTTGCCGTTATTTTATAATAAAATGAAAAGACCTGCTTCTAGGTAAAAATTTCAGGCATTAATAAATTTCCACGCTCTGCTATTCTTATATGTATTTGACAACTATGGATAATATTTTCTGTGATAAACTATTCCTAAGTGAGAATATTTGAGCTTAACTATTTTGATTTGTATCCTTGTATGGTATTGGTAAAATTATTGTTAATATAAACTTCGATTTCGGTCTTGTAATTATCAAGATGGAACTAATGTGTTAAAATTTATTGTGATTTTATTCCAATTTGAAATCTGTCTTGAAATTAAGATTAAAATTGAACTTATTGGAATTCGTTGTGTTAAAAGACTTCTAAGGTCTTTTGATCATAACTAATATAGCTTTTAAACTAGTATAACTGACGTTCGCGGAATATCTTTTTATTTCCTAATGATTCTATGGTTTCGGCTAAATAACACATTAATTTTAGCCTGAAGCATTTCCAAATATTTTCAGATTTTCTGGATTCTGGTTGTATCACACTTGTCGTCATTTGCGATCTTGAAAATTAATAGCTAATCAAAATATAAATAAGGAGGTTTTATAGATTTATTTTATTTCGAAATAATCAATAAGACTTTTTAAAATAAATAATCTATAAAACATTTTTAATTTTATAATTAAAGTTTTTAAATTAAATTTTTCTATCCCTATTTATTTGGCAGATGAGATCAAAACTCAAATTTGAGTTACCAGACCATAAATTACGTTTGCAAAATGCGTACTTGTCTATATCGGCTGCGCAGGTGATTAAGTCGCCAATGAGAAGTCATGAGGGCCAAAGTAAATTCATCTTAGTGAGGGCTGTCCTATTTAAAAAAATATGGCTTATTTTATGTGCTCCCACAAAAAGAAAAAAATAACCGAAAAATGGTTCTTTAATTCCATTTTAAGATAAATGATTTGTTTGGATTGAAATTTGGAATTCTAAATATCTAATTTAAATTCCAAATCTAATGAGTTAGTAATTTTTTTCAATTAAAATCATTGTTCTTTAGTTAAATCATTATTAAATATCACCAAGTTGTTAATATATATTCTTAAAAAGTATTTTGTGAAAGTCAGGGGACGCATGTAATAAAGTAAGGTATTTTTTAAAAATAGCTCTGAGAAAATAAAATTTTTATGAAATTTATTGCATTTAGTCTTAATTTCTTTTTAAATTAGAAAGCGTTTCTTAATAAATATTATTTAATGCAGTGCCTGCTCAGTTAATCTATTCAAAACTTCCACAAATATAGTATTTTTTATTTTTAATAACTCTTAATGTAACAGATTATATTGTTAAACAAAGATAGGTCAACTAAACCCTGGTAAGGTCAACCGGTAAGATTAAGAAATATTAACTTCATAAATTTATTTTCCAATTAGTTACAGGCTATTAAATGAAGAGCAATATCTGAAATTTTTAGTCACATTAAATGACTTTTTTTTAAAAGAAATAATTTTTTTATAAATTCATATTAATATTTAGATTCTCATAAGGCATATTAGATATTTTACATCTGACACCAAAGTGCATATCTTGTTCTGAATAAATAAAATTCCAGCCAGAATTTTAATTTATTATTTTTTTTTTAAATTTTTTTATTTTATTCAAAACAAGATCCTATAGCTTATTAGTTTAAACTATTTAAATTTTGTATATATTAAATATTTCTTTCAAGAATGAATAATTAATACTTATTACGTCTGACACTTTACATTTGTTATCCTTGTAACTTTTATATTTTAATTCATTTTCACCTATTTTCCTCACATATTTCTTTTTACTTATAAGAGGAAGTGAAATATACATAAAAGAAACTAAATAAGCCTTTTAATTAATTTAAAATAGCATACTTCACTTCAATAAGATAATGTCATGTTCTGTTTTATTTTTTTATTTTTTATAATACACTTAAAATAAATCAGTTGCAATTTCTTTTACTAAATTTTGCTCCCCATTTTTTTTTTATTTTTTTTTTCAAAGCACAATATTTAACACTATTAACTAAATTTGAAATTTATTGTGTAGATTTGTTTTGCAAATTAGTTTAGATTAGTAGATTTGTTTTGCAAATTAGTTTAGATTAGTAATTTGTTTTGCAAATTAGTTTAGTATTCATTTGAAATGAATCATTTCCTCTTTTAAAATATTAACTATTTACTTTTTATTTAACCTGTAGATTTTTTCTTTATTTATAGATTCAAAATTTCTAAATATTTTTTAAAAATAATAATATAATTATAATTTATAGAAAAATTCCTTCCTTTAATAAAATTAAAAATAAAAAGAAAGCCAATGGGTAGGAAGTACTATGAAAAAATTGTTCAATATGATGCAAAAAAATCAAACATACATTTCATACTGGCAAGTAGTTTTGCCAATTCAATGTATACAGGGGTCTGTCCAGACATTTTGTGAAAGGTCCGTTTTTGTAAAATTGTGAAAAAATTGCTCGTAATTTGTGAATATAAAATAAACGTTGAGTCACATTCTTCAACCAGGGTCCGCTTTTGTGAATTTGTGCAAATAGAGCAGAGGTCGCCAAAGTGGTCTATATAGACCCCAAGGGTCTATANTTTTGTGAAAGGTCCGTTTTTGTAAAATTGTGAAAAAATTGCTCGTAATTTGTGAATATAAAATAAACGTTGAGTCACATTCTTTCAACCAGGGTCCGCTTTTGTGAATAGAGCAGAGGTCGCCAAAGTGGTCTATATAGACCCCCAAGGGTCTATATAACAAAAGCAGGGGTCGATCTGAGACGGGGTCGAATGGGGGTCGATCCGAATTGGAAGGGTCAATTGTGGGTCGAAAAAAGAAACAGTTCTCAATACGCAAATCACAGATACCTAATTAAGTATGTAAAATTTGTGAATTTTTTTTATAATTGACTCAATATCAGTTTCTTTATGAAACATAAATTAATAAACGTATATTTATTGGGGTGAAACAAGTATGTACGTACCACCGCGCAGTGGCACGAACTCAGCGCAGTTTATAAGTCATATGCATATATGCGCTTGTTAAAATGTCACGTGTGACGAGCATTGACGTTACAAATGCAAATATCATACGCAGTTTCAACTATCTTTGCAAACTGTGTTGAATATTTGCAGTGTCATTATTAAAACTTTTATAGTTTTGGATAATTAGTTATTGTTTCGATAAAACCATTCGTTTGGTTTAGATATCAATTTTAATTATCAATGCACAAAAAAGAAGGTAAGCATTAATGATATGGATTAGTACAGCCCGCGACAAAACTATAGCACTCTTTGTATTTTTTTTACGAATATTACAAAATTGACCAATTTTGACGAAAATTAAAATTGTCCAATTTTGAACCCAATATAGTGAACCTTGCAAAAAACACCAGGCCCACCCATCTTATTGTTCAAGAAGCAGTAAATCTTTAGTTACTTTACTTATTATATCTACTTATGCATAATTACTTATTATTTAATAATAAGGTATTTAAATTTCAATATTAATATATTTTTCATAAAACTATTGTTACATAATGTACTATTACTTTAATAAATGTTTAAAATCGTAAAATAAATGTACAAACATAGTATCTAATAGAGTTTTATTTTAATTAACAGAAAATTACTTTTGCGGGGGTCGATGGAGATTTCGAAAAATTATATAGGGGTCGATAATTAAAAAAGTTTGGCGACCCCTGAAATAGAGGGTCCGTTATTGCAAAAAAACTTTTCAAGGAGTTTTTAAATTGCAAAGACGAACAAGATTATGCTCATCACTGTAAAATTATAATTAAAAAAAATTAAATTTTAAAAAATAAACAGCAATTGCAGCTACTAAATTAGCAATGTAACATACAAATATTTGGCATTTAGCTTATACTGCTGTAGTTCGTTTACATCTGTCTTTCTCTCCCCCCACTTCCTGGGAAGGGTTTATTCCATTAACAAAACAATAATGAAGATAAACAAATTTGTGAAGGGTGCGATTAAAAGATAAATTATTTTGTGAAGGGTCCGTTTTTAAGTTGAAATATTTTGTGAAGGGTCCGTTTTTATGAAAAAATATTTTGTGAAGGGTCCGTTAACGGACCCAAATATCTTCTAAACAGATCCCTATTTATGTAATATTACAGTGTATATGTATATACTAATAGCATATAGCAAAATTTATCTAGTATGGTATGTTTAGTTTTAAAGGTGATTTTAAATTACCAGGCATATAAAATATCTAATAGCATAAAAATTTCTTGTAGAAGACTAAATATTCTACAAAGTGAAAAATGTATTAAAATGAGCCATTTGTTCTAATCACCAAGAAAATGAGAGCATCTTTAATTTAAGGAAGCATTTAACTTTAAAAATAAATTCCATATATTATCAGAATAAAAATTCAAATAAGTTTCAGTGTTTTGCAATTGCATTTATTGATTTACATTTAAAATGCGCCCAAGACCAAAGTTTGTGCTGACAAAGAGATAAAATAATTTGAAATTATATATTGAATTACATTTTTAAAAACAATATAATAGATAGTTTTATTTAAATATAAGCCTGAAAATTTAATTGGGTTTAAAATTAAATGCTAAACAAATTCACAAAATTTAAACTTAAAGGATATGTAACCAAGTAATCATATATTAATTTTGTGATTTACATCTGAAACGAGCAGTTAAATCCATTTATTGATATCAGATTTTGTAAGATAAATGATTTTTTAGTAGAATATAATGATCTAAGTATTTTAAATACAAATTTAAACCTTTTAAGTTTAATTTATAGTTCGTAAATACAATTATTCTAAGAAATTTTAGTTCATTTTTTTATGTCCGACACCATGGAATTGCCCAGTTTGTTTTTAGGTGTAAACCTTCTTATTAATAAAATTTAATTTCACAACATAACAATTTGTTGGTGTAAATATCTATCATTTTGTATTAGCTCCTAAGATAGTTTCTTTTTCAGGAACCGCACTAACAAAATTCAGGTCACAAATATCTTCACCCATAGCTCCTGGGAAAATGTAAAAGATCTGCTTTCAACGTTTGGAAACGTTATACAATGTGAAAGAGGTAAATATTCTTAAATAAATTTCATTTATACTTGATGTGAGATATGTAACAAAGAGAAATTATTGGTATGTGGTTTAAACCTATTTAAAATGATGCTAAATAGAATTACTTTTTTATTTGTAAATGTTGGATGAGTCGATACATTAATCAGAATGAATAATAAGTACAAGTATTAATTGAAATGACTAAAATAAAAGCATAAATTAAGTACTATTGCTGATTATTTAATGAAACCCAGCCCATCCATAAAATGAGCCAATTAATTGACTGTGTTAAAGGAAGAACAGAATTAATGACTCTTCAAAATTTTAGTACCTAATACAACTATGGATACAATGTATCCGATACATAAAGAAATTTACTTAAAATTCCTTGTGAAAAATCTAAAACACAATACTACTCACTCTTTCATGTCAGTTGGAAAGCATATAAACTTTTTAAAAGCAAATTGGCGATGACAAAAAAAAAAAAAATTTCACTTATTTAAGAAAATAACAATGGGGGCAAAGTTTGGTAAAAAATTCGAATTGAACAAAAATTATTTTAAGCTTAGTACAAATATTTTTAAATTACAAGGCGAGCAAGGAATTATTTTTAGATAGCAAAAATAATTAATTTTTGTTACTTTTAGATAACAAAATTTCAAATCTGGAATATTTAGCGTAAATTTTAAATTAACACATTAATTCATACTAATTAATCAATTAGTAAATTCAAATCAGAAAATAAAATTCAATATTCAAGAGATATTAATAAAAAGTTATTTGCTATATTTATAATTAGCCCATTATTTCTGTTTATTCTATCATTTACCAGAGTTAACAAAGTGCAATTATTTATTAAGTAAATAAAAACAATCCTTATTCAAAGGAGCTTGTTTTATTATCGGGTATTTATCTTTATAAAAAAAATAATTAAATATTTTCCCAGAATAAAATATAGTTTTGAGTATTACTTCAATCATCCAGGATCAATTCTCTCAGATCAAAATATTTAACCATCTTCAATGGGACAAGTAGCTCGATTTCACAGAAAACATGTTAGATAATTACATTAAAACTGAATAAATGACAAAATTACACTACCTAATAATGGATCAAACTATTTAACATTTTTAAGTTCTATCTTCATTATTACTATCAGAATAAACAACTGTTAAAATCCAAATAAACCTACATAATTTTAACAAAATTCTACAAAAATTAAATTAAACTAAATTTTTTTTAAAAACAATTTTAAGGACTAACATTTCCAAAGGGAGCAAAACTCTTTTTTGTGAGGAAAATTGCTACCAGTGACGACGATGATAAAAAAAATTAGTTATTCTAAAGCCAGCAGATTGTCATCAATGAATTTTAAATAAAATTATTTGATTGGTTAAATCGATGGCCATAATGTACTGCAGGGGTCTCCAACCTTTTTTTACCCAAGAGCAAATACCAGAATATCGGTCGAATGGCGGGCACCATTTATTTTTTTAAAATAAATTTATAGTTGATAGACATAGGATAGACATATACACTACATATAATGCACAAAAAATTTAATTTTAAAAATTAATTTAACTTAGGAATATAATTAGTATTAATACTCTTGTGTAAAATGAATGATTACTAAATTGCTTTTTCAAACCATACGAATTATAAAAATTATTTATAAAATATATAAAATACAGTCAATGTGATCTTTGGCATTGCATTTCACTGGCCAGCGCTTCATAATTGGGAGAATATGGCCAAATTCCTGCTCGCAAGCAATCGTCAAGGTGTTCATCTGTTAGTCGGGATCTATATTTTGATTTTATGATATAAAGCAATGATTCGCCATATGTGTATGTGGAACCGAAAAACTACTTTATTTTATATGCTGCTCTTTTTAAGAATGAAATTTATTTCTGACAACTATATTCCAGAATTTCTGATCTGACATTTTAAGGATAATGTCATTCTGAAGATCCAAAATTTCTATCTCCACTTCTTCTTGCCTTATTTAAAGAAATTCTGAAATGTATGTTGCTATTACGGTTACGTTTATTTGATTGGTAAAAGGATTTAAAAAATATGTGATCAAATATCTCTATGATATTAAATTGTTGAAAGCGCTTTTCAAATTGATCATGTATGGAAAATGTACAAGAGACATCATTTTCAAATGTGATATCCACAAAACTAACTTAGCTCTGAACGAATTTATAGCCCCTATCATTCTTGCTGTATGTTTGTCCATTCCCTGCAGTTCCAAGTTTTAATTATTTAATTTTTCCGTTATGAAAGACAAATCAGTTAGCCAAAGAGGGTCTCTTAAATCTAAAAATACTTGATTTTTGGCTGCAAGATATTTTTTTATTTCTTCAATTAAATGTAGAGATCTATCAAGTACTTTACCTTTACTGAGCAAGCGAACTTTTGTATGTATTGATTGCATTTGTGTGCATAGCATTTTCTGGGGAAATGGAAAATTGAAATATTTTATCGTTGGGCACAAGCAGCGGGGGGCGCGCCTAGACCGATCGACGGGCGCCATGCAGCCTGCGGGCATAGGGTTGGGGACCCCTGATGTTACTGGATGAACATTTCAAGACTTGTAAAAATAAAAAATGAAAAAAAATTAAAGCTGGAATAATGACTTTCTTACTCTCATTTGTAACTTTCTTTCATTATGTAATTGATGAAGTTAATACTATGTCTTTGAATTATGCAGGCACCTAAGTTCAATCGATTTAAACTTAAATTGATGGTCATATTGGTAAATATTACTTAAGAAGATGAAAATTTTCCTACATATTGATAAATATTACTTAAGATGAACATTTTCCTATTTCATATTCTATTTTTATATTAATGCAAGAAACTGTCTGCTATCTAAAACATAATTTCCAGCAGTTATTATTGTTTTGCCTTAGTTTTTTAATATTCACTTGCCTTTTTAAAATATTTTGTTTATTCATGTTATAAATTTTTTGTAGGACCAGGAAAATCGGAAGAATATTGTACAGCTTATGTAACCTATGAAAGTCCAGACCAAGCTCAACAGTGAGTATGATTTACATTGGTATTATAATTGATGTTTTATGTGAATATTTATAGAAGCACTCTTTGAGATGAGCTGACAGGGCTGATTGTGCTCCGGAAAAAATCCGGATTTCCGGATATTTCGCTAACAGGGATCCGGAAGTTTCCGGAGATCGAAGGTCCAGACGTTTCAAAAAATCATTGATCACAGAAGTTTCCGGAAATCAAATTTTCAAAGGTTGAACTTAAAAACACAGTTTATTTTATTTGTTTGTAAGGGAGAGCCAGAGAGATACTTTATAGGCTTATATTCATGATTAATATTAATTTTTTTTATCAGTAAATAGTTGTTATAATCATAAACTCAAGAAAGAAAGACATATTTGTAAATTTTAATTATTTCTCCAGGTTATCATGGGTATGTGTAAATGGTATAGGTATGTGTAAAATTTTAAATATATGTTAAGTAAACTATTAGTAAACTAGTTAAGTAAACTATATTGAGAAAAAGGAAAAAAACCTAGTTTAAATTTTTTTCCTGATTTTTCAATTTAAACCGTTTTTTTTTTTTTTTTTTTTTTCTTTTNTTTTCCTTTTTTTTTTTTTTTTTTTTTTTTTTTAATTTTATTTTAACTCAAGAAAGAAATTTTCCGGAATTTTGACTTGGGCTCACAATTACCCCTGAGCTGAACAAATTAAAAGCAATATGCATAGGTTGACTTAACACTAAACATACTTACACTTTACAATAACAGGTATTTTGACTTGCTATTTTGGACTTTATAATATGATGTCTCGAAAACACGAATACTGAAATCTTTTATCAGACTGCTGCATTTTACAGTCAGCTATTTCCATGCTTAGACGCCCAGTGGCTGAGCGGTAACGCTGTTATGCCACAGGTCCCTGGTTCGATCCTCGGGCCGGGCAAGGTTGACTCAGCCTTTCATCCCTTCAGTGGGTTGATAAATGAGTACCAAGCATGCTTGGGAACTAAACACTGGGGGATTCCGCATTCGGCTGACCACCTGACCGGAACAACTGCTCCTGCACCCCAGAGCCCAAGGTTAAGAAAACTGAGATGGGCACAGTAGGCCTTGGCTCTCTATGAGCTGTTGCGCCACTGAGTTTAGTTTAGTATTTCCATGCTTACAATTTTTCAGTAGACTACTAGATTTTGCCAGTTTCTGCTGGTTTAATTACAATTTTCCTGATTAGGTTCCCTTTAAAAATCTATTAAAATGGAATTTTTGTGCAGATTATTGCTTGGTTGCTAAAATATTTAAATCAGTATTACTAATACACGATAAAACGAACCTCATTTATAGAAATTAGTTCAAAATTTTTTTCGTTCAAAAATTTTCAGTTCATTTTTATTAAGAACTATCTTTGAATTAAATGTCTATTATTAGTTGGAATTGTAAGTGAACATTAATACATAGCATTTAAAATATGTTTAATGTCAATCATAACTGGAAAATATTGTAGTTTTTCTATTTTGATGACTAAAAAAAAATCCCTGAAATTCCCAATGTGTAAAATATTTAGTTCATTATGCCATAATTATCATGAAGTTTATATTTTGTAAGATATACTGGATTTTTTCCTATCCATGTTGATAGCTATGAATACTGTAACTGTAGAATTTGAGGCTCCATCATCACCGATTCAGGAAGTATAACTCAAAAGAAATACATTGTTAAATGGAACTGGTCTTATTTTTATATATATTGATATGCTTTATTGTATATTGAAGAACCTTTTGAAAAATATAAAGTTAAAATATCTTTTTAAAAAAATGAGACTTCATAAAACTGTAACAAATTGTGATGTACGGTTTGATGTGCTAATTTATTTTATTTCCTTTTAGGAATTTGTAATTTTATATGTTTTAAATAGAGACTCCCTTTCATTAAAAGAAGTCAATCACAGTTTATAAAATATCTAAATTAAGATTAAAAAAGTTTGTTCACCTTATATTTAACATTATTATACTGTTTCAGAGCATACACGCAATTAAACGGATTTGAATTTGAAGGAGGTCTCTTAAAGGTAGACTACATGATGGACAGGGGTCCTGGATCTCGCAGCCCTCGTGGTGGAGGACGAGGGGGTATGAGAAATATGCCTTTTCAGGGAAACTCAGGAGGATTTCCTCTTCGTGGGTCTGACTTTCCACTAAGGATTTTAGTCTTGAGCGACATGGTTGGCGCAATTATTGGACGTTCAGGTGGTACCATTCGTCAGATAACTCAACAATCCAGAGCTAGGTTTGTACTTCAGTGTTGCTTATATAAGTTAACTAGCCATAGCCAGCAGGGTTGCAAAAAACCCCCACCTACCCAGAAAAACCCACCCTAAAGTGGGTTTTTCTGAAATTGATTTCTTTTTTATTCTCTGTTATATTTAAGAGCTATTCTATTGAAATATATTTTAGTCTAGCCTAAAAAAATGAACCTATAGTGAAGAAACTGTTTGGAGACTGGAGAGTCACCTTGCTGGGTAGATTTGTCTGTATGGCTGTTGATTAGTCAGTGCCTTTGATTCGCTTTCTATGCAAAAAAAATTATTCCCTCAACTATTTTTTAAGTTTGAAATATGAATGTGTTAAAATAAGTTTCAGACGTGTGAATGGAAGTACACATAACATTGTGTATCGTGATGACAAAAGAAACTTTTTTCAGTCTTTTGCACCAATTTATTTGTATTAATTATTAATTACACTTTAATTACCTATATCTTAAGTCAATTCATAAAATTAAACTTAATTATTAATATTTAAATGAGGTACTTATCCCTGCCCTCTCTTTCGAAGACCCCCCCCTGAAACATGAAAAACCTGGAAAAGCCCGTCTGGGTGTTTTGTAACCTTGACAATCAGATTGGTCACCCTTCGAAATTATATTATACAACATGTAAACTTAAATCGTTTCCAAGTCTAATGCACTGCATAACTGTTTTTAAATATTCTAATTCTTCAACCGATACCCCAGTCCCAGCATCTACATGGGTTTTGTATAGTATATTAACCAAGTCTTGGTTTAAACGGAAGTACTTGATTTAAATTATCTTTAAGACGTCTGTGTGTAACTTCAGCGGTATTCTTCTCGAGCAGCAAGTACCCGATCACCCGGAAAAACAATTGAAACGTCACTTATATTTAAGATGAAATTGACACTCATAAAGAAGTGATTACTCACAATTGGTATTCACTTATTAAAAATATTGGGATTTTAAAATCTATGAGGAATAGCTGCTGGGAAAACATTTTAAATTACCATTAAAAAATTGCAAATTAAGCAAAATCATGTGAATATCCATGGGGATTACCGCCGGAAAATTGATTTAAAATGAAAGTCAGCTTTGGTTTTTGATGAAATTTGTACTAAATGAGCACCTCCAGAAGTGCGCAAATTTGAAACTTAAATTTTTTTCTATTTTTCGAAAATTTAAAAAACACTTATTTTGTTCAGATGTCGCATCTTCAGAAGGCCACAAATTAGTTTTAGAAAAATGAAGTGATGTAAATCATACCATCCCTGCTTTTTTCTTTTTAATTTCTGAAATATGTTGTAAGGTTTTTATAATTTCTGTCATTTTCGTTTTGTTTGTTATAGAAGAATTAAATAAAAGATAAATATCAAATAAATAAAATAAAAGTGCTTGTAAAGGATGAAAAATTAATATGGGCCAATTTAAATTTTGTCCCAAGCAGCCGAGTTCCTTACTGAAATGAGCATTATTGTATTGTAATCTGTATACGTTAAGATGTCTTTAATGTGCCTCCTAATTGGATTCATTTTTTGTAGAGTGGACGTTCATAGAAAAGAAAACTCTGGAGCTTTTGATAAAGTAAGTTTATCATGTTTTTTATAGTTTAGACAGGATTTATTGCATACCTTAAAAGTGCTTAATTTTGCATTGCAGAAATTAAACACTTAAAAGTAGCTATTTTTTTATGTTTAAAGGCACTTAAAAGTGTAAAAGAAATTTCTAATTCTTTTTTAATATGATGCTATTATGATTAGCAAATTTCAAATTAGAGTAATTCCTTTTTCATACATTCGTTTCAAGACTATGTAACAGTTCTTTTGTGTCATTGGATGAATGTTTTTTCATCATAATTTTTAATTTTTTTGGCACTTTCCACATGCCAACTCTACTGGATTTTTCCAGTTTCTCCTGGTAGAATTAAAATTCTCCTAGTTTTTGTACATTTTAGAAAATTCCCTAAAATTGAGCAAGTTTTCTAAAAAAATCCCTATTGAAATAGAATTTTTGTGCAGATTATTGCTTGCTTGTTTGAATACTTAAATAAGTATTACTAAAACATAATGACGCAAACCTTATTTATAGAAAGCAGTTCAAATTTTTTTTTATATAAAATTGTATTTTTATTCTAAACTTTTTTTAAAGTAATAAAAAATCTTAACTATCTTTGAATTCACTATTAATATTCGAAATCATGCCTATACATAATACTTAACATTTCAAGTATGGTTAATGTCCATCATAACTGGAAAATATTGCAGTTTTTCTATTTTGATGACTAAAAATCCCTGAAATTTTCTATGTGTAAAATACTTAGTATGTTATGCAACAATTATCATGAAATTTATAATTCTTCGTAAAATCTACTGGATTTTTTCCTATCCATGTTGGCAGTTCTGCACATGGATTTTAAAGTAGTTGTGATGTTTTTAATGTTGATGTGAAATGCAAATGTAAGTTTTTTATTCATTCAATTTCTCTATAAATAAATCTAACTATATATTAAATCAAAATTGAAAGCACTTGCTCTTTTGTTGTGAAGTTTTCTGTTTCAAAGAGTTTTTAAAAGTCATTAGCTAGAACTATTTCATTGTATAAGTTATTTTCAATGTTTCGTGCAATTGAATTACACGAGTCTATTGTAAAGGCATCATTCCATTTTTTAGTGGTAGTTCAGGTAGCATCATTGCGGTATTAAGCCTTTTTTTGGATGCTTGTGATAGCACTTCAATTTGAATATCATTTTTTTGGGATGTTTGTCTCAGAGAAATGAATAAAATCAGTTTAGGAAAAATTTATTGAGTAAATATTAAACTGAATATGGCCACACTCAAAAATAAAAAGCATAACTGAAAAGAAGTACCTTAAAGGGATAAAAAAATTTTTTATTCTCTTTGCATGATATTCAGCGGTTGGGATTGAGAGGTCCAAAAGGACCCCTCAATCATTTCGCCACTTATTAGAAATTGAAAGTGAATGAACTGTTCCCAGTGGGCACTTATGAGCATGGGAAGAGATACATGATTCGTGATTTCTCAAAAGAGAACATAGCCAGAAATAAAGCCAACTCCCAGTATTAAATTTGAAAATAATTTGGCAAAAGCTAATCGTTAAAAAGACTGATAATTAGTATAACTATGCGACTGGAACTTTAAAAAAAAATTTTTTTTAGTTTTATTTTTGGTAAGAAATAAAGAGTTTTAGTCATGACAGTGAATTAATGAGTCTTACATTAGTATTGAAATAGAAAGTTAGCCTTTACACAGACATGCCAACTGCTCCGCTTTGAGCGGAGTTTCTCCGTTTTAAAATTTTAACTCCGCTGCCCTGCGCTAAGTCAAAAACGCTCCGCTTTTCCTGCTCTAACTGTTACTAAACCGAAATATCGTCCCTCAAGTGCGTTTTCGCTTTAAAGTCATTGCGTTAGCTTGCAGCATGACAGTGAGAATGCATCTTATTTTGCTTTACGTAGATGCGTTAGTTTAGAACGCGTCAGTGAGAATGTTGCTTGAAAATTGTGATTGGAGCATTGGTGGCTAAAAGTTATTCACTCGCGAAGTTTTTAACATATCGCATGTTGTTTACATCGTCGTCAGTTGATTGTAAAATGCATTTTGAAGTTTAAAAAAAATCAGGAATGCCGCCTAAAAAGAGATCCCATCATCAAGCTTTTAAAGATGATTATGCAAAAGAATTTCCTGTTCTAAAGCGCTCAAAAGCCTCTGAGAATCACGCCTATTGTATTACATGCGATATGGATTTCACAATCGCACATGGTGGTCTGTATGACTGTAGACGTCACGTGGAGTGTGAACGACATAAGAAAAATGCCGAAAGATTGGCTACAAATAAAAAAATTAATGCATTATTTTCCTCGTCATCAGATGATTTAAAAGTTATTCGGGCTGAGGCATTGTTTACAAATTTTATATTGGAACACAATTTGCCAATTGCTGTCGCCGATCATGCGCGGCCTTTATTTAAGAAAATGTTTCAAGATTCTGATACAGCCGCTAAATACGGCTGCGCAAGAACAAAGACAACTGCAATTATCAATTGTTTAGCTACAAATACTGGTAATGAGCTGACGAATATTTTAAAAACAACGAAATTTTCCTTAGCTACTGATGCCAGTAATTCTCATTCGTCAGACAAAATATTCCCTTTGATTGTAGGCATTATCGACGATGCTAGAATAACTACGAGACTGTTAAGTTTAGCAAAACTGAATGGTGATGCTACTGGGCAAAATATGTTCCAGTTGCTTCATGAAGAACTGTCAAAAAGATCGATTCCTTGGAGTAACTGTATCGCCTTTTCCTGTGATAATGCTTCATCGATGATTGGTAAGCATAAGGGTCTTACAAAGTACTTATTGGAAAAGAACTCCAAAATGATAATAAACAAATGTGCTTGCCATTTGTTACATTTGGCTGCTAAGAAGGGGGCTAAAGAACTGCCATTAAATGTGGAGGATTTTCTAATTGATGTATTTTATTACTTCAAAAAAAGTTCGAAGAGGATTGAGGCTTTTAAAGCCTGTCAGATCTTTTGTGATCTTGATAACCACAAAATACTTAAATATGTGGCTACAAGGTGGTTGTCTTTACTTAATGTTATTGAAAGATTTCTTGAGCAGTGGGACAGTCTTTCCCTTTTTTTTCAAAATGAAGATGGCACATCTGAGAAATGTAGAAAGATAAAAAAGATGTTTCTAGATCCACGTACAAAACTTTATCTTTTGTTTTTGGAATCTGTGTTACCACTCTTCTGTTCTGTGAACGTTTTGTTGCAGTCAGAAGAACCTTTGATTCACTGTCTTCGGAGAGAGTTGGAGATGCTTTTAACTAAGTTAATTGCACGTTACATATCTCCAGTTTCTGTTAAAGAGGCAAAAAGCATACGTACAATTGAATTTTCCAATAGAAAAAGACAAAAGTTGAATGAAGATTTAGTTATAGGCTGCAAAACAAGGCAATTTTTGAAAGAAAATTCTCTGACTGAAGATGTTGTGTCTGCATTTTATCTAAGTGTCAGAAACTTTTATTCCCTGTCATGCAAATATATAAGCGAAAAATTTCCACTGGAGGATGCTGCTTTATTAAATGCTGAAGTTGCGGACATTAACCTAAGACTGGAAAAATCTTTCAGTGCAATTAACTACTTCGTAGATCTTTTTTGTGAAGATTTCTCAGACTTACAAAAGGGTGCACTAGAGGAAGAATTTGCTCTTTATCAGATTGATAACTTCAGTGAGGATGTTATAAAAAATAATAAGCCTGCTGAAGTTTGGTCTATGATCGAAAAAATTAAAGATCAGAAAGGCTGTTTAAAATACAACATTCTGCCGATTGTTATGAAGAGGATATTGCTAATCCCACACAGCAATGTTCCTTGTGAAAGACTGTTTAGTCTTGTGAGGAAAAATCAGAATGACTTCAGAGGAAACTTAAGTTTATCTACATTGCAATCTATTTTGATTCAAAAATCAAAAATGATTTCTAAAAATGAACTCTGTTATGAAAGAAACTTCACTAAAGAAGAATTAGCTAAAGCTAAAAAGGCCACATCTATAGCATTACAAAGCAAATAATGTTATAATTTTTATGCTCTTTTAATTTGCACTTTAATATTTTCATTGCATTTTAATACTTTATTATTATATTAATAAATATTTTGTATATTCAGTATTGCTTTATTACTTCTCATTACTATATAATGTACATAATGAGGCATATTTAATGTATTAAAACGATTGATCATTGACTGCAAAAAAATTGCTCCTCTTTGGTATCACTAAAGGTTGGCATCCCTGTTTACATTGATTGTTTAGAAAAGGATAAAATATTTTATATTCACTTTTTATAAATTGTAATGAAAATTTAATTATTGTTTTGATTAAATTAAAAATTCAGTTTAGAATGATTTAAAAAAATAAGTTTATGAAGTTAATGAAATTTTAAAAGCTAAGAAATATGTAATGCCTTTTGTGGCATCATACCTATATAAGCAAGTGTGTATTATATAAACATATTATGTGATCTTAAATCTTGTTTTTATTATTTTTTTAGGATGAAATGTATTCTGTTCAAGTAATTACAATATATGGAAATCCAGACAATTGTTCGCTTGCATGTCAAAAAATTCTAGAAGTTATGCAACAGGAAGCTAATAACACAAACAGAGGGTCCGTATTTGTTCTTTGTATTGATAGACTTTTCAGGTGTACTAAATTTTTAAATTAACAATGTGATATTTTATTAGGGAGGTACCTTTAAAAATCCTTGCTCACAATAACCTTATTGGAAGAATAATTGGGAAAAATGGTAACACAATTAAGAAGATAATGGAAAGTACTGATACTAAAATAACTGTTTCCAGGTATTTTGTTTTTCTTTATTGCTTTTTAAATTCTTTGCTGTTATTTTATTGTTTTGACAAAAATATAATATAGGCACTGTATAAAAGAAATTATCAACAATAAAAATCTGTAACTACTCTGCATTTTTTTCTTAAAGCTAAAACTATAGTTGAATATCCTATTAAGTTGAGTGATATCTTTATGCATTCTTGTGCCACTGATGTTTTATCAGGAAATCTGTAGTGAAGTTTTTTTCTTCCTTTAAACCTTGTAACATTCAAAACCTAGTAAATTACAGTTATCTGATTTTGTATCCTCAAACTTTAATAAAATTTTCTTCCATACACAATTATAAATTTCAGCAGTAGCCTACCCATTAGTTATTACAGCTGCTGTGACAGTGATCTCATTCTAGAGAAATATGAATATAAATTATTTTTAAGTTATATTTTTTTTTAGCTTTTTTATTGTAAGGCAATGCAGTTTTTGATACATCTTATGCTTAATTTTAAAACAATTTGATAAAAAGTTTTTTTCTTCCCTTTAATGTTAAATCGAAATACAGTTATTAAATTCAAAGAGTAAAAAATGTATACAAAATGCTATTAAAGGACTGCATTGGTCTCTACATAAATGCTGTTCTGTAATTAGTGTTTAGCGTAATACCTAATTTTTAAATTATTTGTTTTAACAGCAGCATGCAAGATGTGAACACCTTCAATTTTGAACGTATCATCACCATTAAAGGCAAATTAGAAAACATTGTGAAAGCTGAACAGATGATTAGTAGTAAATTGAGACAAAGTTACGAGAATGATTTGCAAGCAATGGCCCCCTCTACAATGATGTTCCCTGGATTGCATCCTATGACCATGATGTCTACTTTGCCAAATCCAGGATATCCTGGTGGACGAGGCGGACCTCCTCCTCCACCACCACCACCCCCTCATTATGGGGGAGGAGGAATGTATGGCAACCCCCCACCCTACAATATGCCCATGATGCCGTATTCCCCTAATGCCCCACCTCCACCCAACATGGAACCCACAAAAGAAACAGTTTACCTGTATATACCAAACTCTGCTGTTGGAGCTATCATTGGAACTGGTGGAAGTACCATACGAGATATGATTAGTTCTTCTGGTGGCAGTATAAAAGTATGTTTATCTGCTTCTTTTCACTGCCTGCATATACATATGTCATATTAATAACTTCAAAATCAGCTGTCTTAATGTATATACTATATTTACTGTTGTAATATTATATGTATGTCGCTCACGTACTGCAATCGTGGCACAACTAAAAAAAAAAAGTGTTTTGGACTAAGAGCAGAACAGGTGTAAATATGAAAATACACATTCTCTGAGCAGCAATACTAGCACAAGTCATATATCAACTTAAAGGTAATCTTCGTTTAAGTAAACTAAAGCATTTCTCATGCATGTTTTGCTTAGCAATGAAAACTTCAAACCCACTTATCTCAAAACTTGATTTTTTAAGTTGTGCCGCTACTGCAGCCCATGTGCGATATATTTGTTACAGCGTGATGGGGTTGAAGAATAACACAATTAATCAGATTTTGAAAGGTTTAGGACAGAATGGATTAATCCACAGTTTAAACTTTCCTGTCTTAAACTGTCCAAAACCCTTTTTATTCAAATTATGTCACAATTTTTAAAAAAATATTCTGAAAAATAAGATTAATTTTTGAACAAGAAACAAAATGAAGAAAAGTTGGTTTTATTAAAAAAATATTATTATTTTTAATATTGCATTATTTATCCTTCTGCAAAAACATAATACAGCGAACTCTCGCTGCTACGATATCCGATACAACAATTCCCTCTATTACAATAATGTTTTGTGGTCCCCGCGAACTTGCATATAAATTAATGTTATCCACCTCTCAATATTGCGACATTCTCTGAAGCAATAAACCCCTGTCAGATTAATTTTTTTTTCAAATTGCAACCTTATTTTCACCATTTATTATTAGTTTTCAAATAATATTTTAAAAAAATTGAGCCACGATGGCTCAGAGAATAGAGTGTTCGCCGTCCTATGAGGTGAAACGGGTTCGATCCCGGCAATGACTGGTCGATACGAATTCTGCAACTAGTTTTCGACGACCACAGTACTGACGTGAAATATCTTCAGTGGTAGACGGATCATGGGTTAGTCCCTTTGCCGTTAGGCTAACCGTGAGAGGTTCTCGTGGTCTTTTCCATGTAACGCGAATGCGAGTTAGTTCCATCAAAAAGTCCTCCATGAAAGCAAATTTCTCCCACAGCTTGTGATCCAAGAGTTTCCTTGTCTTCTGGATTAGGTTGAAAATGACAAGTCTACGGAGTTCAACATTAGTAGTCGTAAACCCAAAGTTTAGGTCGGCTGTTCAACGCCGGTTATAAAAAAAAATAATGTAAAAAATCTAATTTTCTCATATTTTGCTATTTTTTTCGGTCCCTTCTGACAAGAGAACACTCACTGCTGATTATGTAGTTATCTTATTTCTTTTCACCACAGTGAATGGCTTTTGTATTCAGATTTCAATACCTCATCCCAAGACTTACCATTCTTAGAATTCTCATAAGAAATCATGATTTCATATTTAACCCTAATTACCACTCTGCAAGTTAAATGTTTATATAACATATTTATAGATTTAGTTATTATATAACCAACATATACATATGTAACATTAAAATTTAAAAAAAATCTTTTTGTGTCCCCAAAATATGTAAGCCCTCGATATAATAATATATCCCTCTACAACAATATAGTTATTTGGTCCCCAAAATATTGTTGTAGCGAGGTTTTACTGTATATCAATAATTTTTAAAGGATAAGGTATTCACTTTTGTTATTAGGTGAATTGTGCAGCTTCTCAAGTTATTAATATTTTCCTATTATATTACATTATATTATTTTCCTTTAATAATTTAAAGTAAAAGAATAAAATATTTATTAATGTATGTAATTATTGTATATAATTATTATGCTTAATAGTTAAGACAATAAAACCAATGTGTCCTGTCCAAAACCAGTTTAGGACGTCCAAAACCCCAATCCTGCAATTAATACTAAACTGTTTGATAAACAAGATAGATGCATGGGCAGGTGGTTAAAACAACTTCATGTGAGGCGCTTCTGTGTTGGACCGTGTATGGTGCATATATATATATATATGTCCAAATGTTATCATCAGTCTTATTTAATTTGTAATAAGTTGAATTCCTTAAACAATTCCATTCTTTCATTTACAATATCTTTCTTTGCTAGAAACCATTTTATATAATTCAAATTGTTAAATTATGTACAGAGTAAAGTGTGACTGAGCAACGAAAATCTGTTTCATTTCCCTGCTCTACCACACTGCAAATATTTTTATTATTTTTTTTAATCTAAATTTTCTTTCTTAATTTGCATCCTGTCTTTTAATTCTATATTTAGATTGAATTATGCTTAAATTAAGCTTTTCCCTTAAACAAGCACAAGAAACAGAGAAATCTCTTGACTGAGAAATAATCCTCTTTTTACGTATGACTTGAGTTCATCTGAATTTGTTTGCAATATTTCCCCTCACTATTCAAAGTGAAGCAAATATTTGGCTTCTTGCTCTCCATATTATGATTACATAAATAAAGCTTAATATAGGAATTTCTTGGTTCACTACAGACTTCTTCCTAGGGTGCTTCCTCTATGAGAAAGACATTCACTTTATTGATGTTGCAAACACAATTTATCCAGAGGATTAAAAACTAATAAATAAATTCAGATTTTGATTTATTCATTACATTAATCTAGTTATACTATATAATCAATGTTTTTGATAAAAGAAATTCTAATATTTTTATAGGGTATCTAAAAAAATTTAATTTTATTGTATTAAGTTTATTTGTAATATGATATCCTTATTTTTAAATCTGTAGATAAACATTCAGAAACAAAGTAATGCTTACTTTATGCTATGGTACCTTGGTAGGATCACCGTGAAACAAAATTAAGAACCTGTCTGTATTTCTGATTGATTAGTTAAGTTTTAATTTTTATTCAGTATTGCTTATCTCGTCCATAACCAGGGTGCATATTTTTTTTAAAGGTGCTTATTTCCGTTTTTTAAAAACCCTTAAAGGTGCTTTTTTTTCATTGGGTGTTTTTAAAAATTGCTTTATTTGCCTTTTTAAAAAATCATACAGTAAACATTTTTTGTTTTATTTATAATTGCCTGTTGCGCACTAAATAAATGACCATACAGATATGGTTCTGAGCCAATAGTCTTTAATATTATCTAAAATACAAATCACAGAGGCATTTAGTATTTTTTTTCTACCCATTTGAGGTGCAGCTCAGAATCTGATAAATTTAAGAAGCTTTGATGTATCAAAGAAAACTTATTCATATAATTTGTTTCTTGTTTCAGGTTGCTCAAACTAACAAAGATGAACCAATTGACCGTGATGCCTTGCGCAAAGTAACAATTATTGGTACACCTGAAGCTCAATGGAAGGTCAGTTGTACTACAAAATTTTATTTAGTTTCATAGTTTGTAATTGGAATTTACTTTTACTTATCTGTTAGGTTTTACCCTAATTTATACACATCTCACAAAAGCACTTTCAATGATGCTTGTTTGGTAATAGGGTCATTCCATATCAGTTCAATCAGACCTATCATTACAGATTTTGATGAAAATTTGTACACTTATAGAATATTTGATGCTATCTTCAAAAATAGTATATTAGAAATACTAAAAAGGTTTAGAAGTTATATGTATTTATATTTTTTCTAAAATTACTAGTTTTCCTCCATTTTGATTATTAACATATCAAAAGCTATTAATGGCTTACTGAAAGAGAAAGAAATAAAATTATTAAAGTATTTTTAGAAAATATTAAAGCTAGAAAACGAAAAATTATCATATCCGCAAAGTTGATTATATCCGCAAAAAATAGTGCTTTCTAATTTTGTGCTAATATAGCAAAAACAAAATATATCAGTACAATAGTTTGAGAAACACTAAAAAAATTGAAAGAAAAATGGAACACATTAAGTACCAAAAGGAAAAAAATACAAAATATAACATCTATCAAAAAACACAATGTAACGCAATTACATTTTCGTTAGCTTCGCGAACAAACTTAAAAGTCGTTTTCCTGGGGATTAGCTGGCAACATTTTTCTGCGCCAACTTTCCCATGGAGAGAATATGATAGGATTGTAAAATGTCAAAGGAATAAAGCCATTTCAATACAAACAATATTATAAACTTATATAAAGCGAGAAAGCAATATTATTGAACACATTACTGTAGGGCATTAGCCGGAGATTAATCTCCGTATCAGAAGCACGCGTGGTAGAGCCTAACTCAAATCATTGTTGATCTTATAGGATGCCGAACGCTCCCTATATTGTGCTTTATCTCCCCCCCCCAGTAATTTAAATTTTAAACTAAAAACAATTAAAACCTGATGAAAAAAAACTTTACAAAAATTACAAACAAATTAAAACATGTAATATTAATAAGTTGATTCTAAGTAATATTTCAAAAGCAAATACCATTGCAAGTAATTGCTCAATTAACTTCAATACTGTCAACTGACAAAATATTTTAGTTTCAATCAGAAGTATTCGTAAGTACACCAAAGTATTCGTTTTCATCTAAACGTCTTGACTTTTCAACGTTTCTTCGCCGCACATACCGCCGTCGCGTATTGATAGCACTATGATTATTTTCCAGTTAATTTTGTGCAGCTAAATCATGTTCAGCTCTATGCCGCTGTTGATATCGCCTAGATATTCACGGCTATTCATTTTTTTATAAAAAATATAAGTATTTTGAAATAAACTCTGTTCAATATATTTTGATAATTTGGAATGTAAATAGTTTTTTGAGAGTGTTGATTTGTGCTTCCAATAACTCTACCCGATTTATTAAAGCTATTAAAATATATTGGAATTCTAAAATAACTGTGTTCTATCAAAACAGACATTTTATTATAAAACTTTAGAACAACTATCTTTTTACTTTGCGACTCGAAATTATTAATAAACACTGGATAATATAGCGTTAAAAACACTTATATATATCATATATAATTGTTTGCATAAAAAATCATTCGGTCTTTTTATAGCTTTACGTAACAAGTTCTTTCTTTTTTTTTTTGGAATGGCGATGTTAAAATTTTGTTGTTGAGTTAATAAATCTTCCTTTTTATAAACGTAATAGTAGAGTTTTCTTAATTATTTGATTCGAAGCCCTCCGAGTTATATTTGAGGTCATTTTGTATTTTTTGACAGCATTATTAAAAATTATTACCTTTTCACATACATGCGTTATCAATTTTGATTGGCTGTTTTGTGTGTTACTTTCCAGAAGTCTTCTGTGATTGACTATGTGTTATTATTCCACTCTCTTCTTATGTATAAAGATATAAAAATAAGTGATAAGATTTTGAGTTGTAAGGTATACAAATAATTTTCCATTACAATTTTACATCATTTTAAATGACAAAATAAAAAATTTAAATGAAATTGCTCAAATAGTTTCTGAAAAATGCAATTTTTAAAATGTGTAACTTTAATTCCTCAACTAATCAAATTTTGTATTTTATTACTCAAAATTGCCTACTTTTTAAATTAGTCATTTTTAGACTTCTAAGTAAAATAATAAAAATTATTCTTTACATGAAATTATCTTAGATTAAATAAATTTCATAATTATGTGCAAAATTTTTTCAATGAGCTTTTAAAGTTCTCGAGCTAAAGTAAATATGCTAAAAGTGAAATGTATATTAATGGGTTCAAAATTTTGATTGTACTTTTGCTGAAACTATTGGGTCCATAACCCATATTAGTTTTTAAAAAATATTACTACCTAATATACATTATTTATAAGAAAGTGCACTTAGTATTTGATTTTGTAGCTTAAAATCATACCTGCCAAGTCTAGTACTTTTTTATCGAAGACTCCTGTATTTTAGGACTATCTCCTGTTTACCCGTATGAAGCAGAAAAGAAAATTTAAATACATAAATTTTTTATTTTTTTTTATTTTAAAATTTCAATAGTATCATTGATATTAAAAACAGTTTGCAGATTTTTTTACCGCTCTATTAGTGCTTTTTCGTTTTGTACATAGCTTATTATTTTACTTCAATTAATAACTATTACCAAAATTATCATTGGTTCTAATAATATTTGCTTTTTTTCATTTATTAATTTTTTTTTATTTATTAATGAATTAGTATCATTTCTCCATTAATTTTGCTTTTCAATACAATACTTATTATTTTTTTTATTAATTTCAATTACTGTTGGTTTTAAATTCTTTAGTTTTATAGTAACACATTTTGAAAGTATAACAATAAACAAAATAAACAGGTAACCTTAGAAATACTAATTTGTTCTATGCTGCAGCAATCACATAGATCATTCAGATAACCTGCTATTAAGTATTACAGAAGGCACAATAAACAACTTTTTTAATTTGAGCTATAAACTGGCAAACATTGATTTACGTCAAAATATTTGACCAAATTATAGTCTATAGTAAACTTAAACATGAAAAAATTAAAATATATCTGAATTAAAATGTTATTGAATATAGTTTTAAAGCTTACGTATACAGAGACATCCACATGTATTCTTTATTTTATTATATTAGATTCTTTCGCAGTAAAATTTTTCTTTATGCTATAAAACTTCCCTTTCCCTCTAACCAGTATAGCAAAATTTATTATTTTTTTAATTAATTTATTTATTTATTAAAAAAAAGTCTGCCATATCTATATTCTAAAAAATTTCCTTGATTGTTTCACCCCCCCCCTTTTTTTTTAAGTAGCCTACTGAGGCCTGGTTTAGATTTTAGTGGCTTTTATTTTTTTTAGTTCCTTAGCTAAGTGTTAGTAAAAAGAATCTAGTTGGCTTAATTAATAATTTTTTCTTCATTTTTATAATTGAATATTCACATTTTTTAATTGAGTTTTGTATTTCATTTGTTAATAAGAACAAAGAAAAAGTTCTATTTTCCTAAATCCCAACTGATTTTAGTTTATTATTTCAGGCTCAGTATATGATCTATAAAAAAGTAGCTTTCGAAACTTACATTGGAGCTCAAGATGCTCATAGCCTCAAAGTAGAAATATTTGTTCCTTCTAACCAGGTTGGTCGCATTATTGGAAAAGGTGGTCAAACAGTAAGTATTGTACATTATATTTTATCTTCGCTTTACAAGGTTTGGTTAAATATTTCTTGAAATAGGATTTTTTTAATACGAAATACAGTAAGACGCTGTTTCGATTTAGCGCTCTTTAATTTCAACCCAGGGATTCTCCAAAATTGTACGCGGGGGACTCCCCCAAATATGTACATATATCCAAAACAGTGTAGTTGTGTTTCTTGTTTGGTGCGATGTTGTACGAATGCATTTTTATCATTTGAAACATTTGCTCACCTTATTGTAAGTACATATAAATTTATATAATACTATAACAATTAATACAGTGACAAATATTATGATCTTTAGTTTTTATCATGGGTGATAATGAAAAACAAGGAAAGAAAGCAATCAGAAAAAGCATTTCACTGGAAACTAAAATGGAAGTGATTAGAAGATTAGATTCTGGTGAACGTCAATCTCAAATTAGTGCTGCATTGAATTTTGCAACTTCAACAATAAGGACAATTCTTAAGAATGAAGAAAAAATACTGTCATCGGCAGCTACGTCAAGCTCTGCAACTAGAATTACTCATTCTAGAGATAACATTACAGGGGAAATGGAAAAACGACTGTCTATATGGATTGACCACGAAATTGAACGCAATATGCCATTAAGCCAATCTATCATAATGGAAAAGGCTAGAAGAATTTTTATTTACTTTCAGGTTGAGGCAAGTGACATAAGTGAAACTTTCGTTGCTAGTCGAGGATGGTTTAATAGATTTAAACATCGAAATAATCTTCACAACATAAAGATTACAGGAGAAGCAGCAAGTGGTGATACGAAAGCGGCGGCTGAATTCCCAGCGACATTAAAAACAATAATTGAACAAGGAAACTATCCTCCAGAATTGGTTTTTAATGTTGATGAAACAGGCCTGTTTTGGAAAAGAATGCCAAAACGAACATTTCTATCCCGTGAAG